GAAACAGAATTCTTGACGACTGCGTTCATATTTGAACTTCTGAATGAGATTTCCGTGATCAAAGTGTTCATTGCATCATGCTACACCTTGTTAAAGTTGTTAAATTTGCAAGCTGTTATTATCCACGGTAAGAGTAGGTGTTGATTCTGCTACTCAGAGCACTGAATTCTGAAAATAGATATTTTAGATATTTGTTAAAATATTGGATGCAATGGCCATCAAACACTGCCCAACTTAGGTCTTATGCTTGTTAAGACTTATCAGTAGATTGTCTCTGAAACCTTGAGGAAACTGATTTCCCCTTAGATTCCGGAGCCCGTGTCATTCAGTGATGTAGTCACAAACGTAACCACTGAGCCATTCCAGGAGACATTACCTACTGTACGACAAGATTAGATACACTGATTGGTGATTGAAGAGTAACTAATTTCGTGTTGTCCAGTCCTAAGTTCTAACCAAATTACAAAATGATCAACAAAATTCAGTGAGCACTCAGGACGAGATAACAATAAATTGACTATTCTCCAGTGACCAGTAAACGTATTTAGTCCAGTTCCATAAAAAGTCAGTCACGACATCAATAACTGAATAGTACAATGAATGGCTGGAAGGCTACATAACGTGGTTTTGAACCTCTGAGGAGATATCAGTTAGCTTTACATTAAGGATACGTCTTCCTGATGAGTGCTAGCGAGTAAGAAACTTAGGTTCAGGGTCTCCTACTGATTGACTCCATCCAACTAACAACTAACAAAGTGATGAGTGTCCTAGCTTGGTGGCAGTACTGCTAAATAATCGATAGAATTCAGCTAGCAATCAGACTTGGCAACACAAAATTGGTTCCTCTCAAGTGACCAATTAAAGCACTTTAGATGTTTTTTTTCAAGAGGACTAGCAATGATATTCGATCCAACCAGACGTGAACTGTAATGTTGAGTGAATATGAGTGTGACTGCATATTACACTGAGTGTTGGTAAAATATGAAAACGTTACATTGTATACAGTTTATGTGAAGTTTTTAAATTCTACATTCGAGTTGGTTTGGTCTTCAGTTTCTTTTACATCTTCTTTTACCTTCTGTATTCTATCTTATACTAATCGTTTCCTCCATCAGAAATGCTACCAACTGGATGATAATTCTAACTGCTTTTGCCAAGAACACCAACCTATATACTATTTACGAGTATTTGTGTAAGTAGCGTACACCATAGATACATGTTAGATTTACGGTTTTGGAAAAAAATGGTTCTTGATAAATTTGTCGAAGGAAAAAAGTATACTGAGAATGAAGCTCATGATTGTCGAACGCTGCAGTAGGAGAAAGAGAAGGAAAAATATATTAACTGAAGTGTCACAAACTGGTGAAGAGACTGCTTTTTGGAAACTGAGTGCTGTGCAATCAAGTTCATCAAAATGAAGTGTGCAAGAGACTGGAACTTAATTATGCGAAGCTTCATTTAGTGTCAGTGTGTGTACAGGGGCTAGGAGTCTCTGACCTAGACACGCGACTATAAGCCAATGGGTCTCAGGTTGGAACTGTGTTCCATTTCTGTGATTCGGCAGTCAAGTGGTAATGTTCGCCTTCATACATTAGGTGTGGCTCATTAAATGATGTACAGAAATGCACGTGGTTACTGAGAGTTTAGTTCCTTTTCTCACTTAATGACTTAACGGAGGTAAGTGGATAGAGTGCGGGATAAAATGAAATGGTTGCGAATTAAATGTATAGGGAGAGAAAGACCATAGCGAAAACTTCTTAGGATTCCAGGCTCTTTCAAGTATTACATCGTGAGTTCATAGAGAACCTTCAAAAGGTCAATAACATTGTTAGAATGTGAAGTAGCAAGTTTCTAGAAATCTTAAAGCAGACAGAAATCCCTGAATATATTTGACAACCAATCATCACACCTCCAATATTCCAGAAAAATCATCCGACAATGTGTATGTCTATCTGATTGAATAATATAACAAAATCAATAATAAACGCCTTCTGGAAGAGCCAGGAAAGACCAAAGTCATACATGAGAAGATGAATACAGCAGTATTTGTCTTTAGTTAAATCTTGAAATAAACCTATCACTACCACCTTCTCCATTTTCAAGGGGTCCAGTGATTAGTGGATTAGGAATGAAAGCTCTGTACAAATGTTCACATGTATATCAACAATCAAGTTAATTCATGTCTTCTTGAACGTAGATATTCCTGCAGATTACTCAGAAAAGTTCCGTTCTAAAAGAACATAGTAAATGAAATGTTTATGGATGTTGTTTGATAGCAAAAAAAATGTTATGAAATCATTCTGTTAACCAGTGTGGAAAAGAATGATTGGTATACATAAAAAACTGATACGCCCATTTTAAGATCACAGGCGATTTCTTTTGAAGCTGTGATTAGCTAAACTTTTACATTTTTCAGTGAATATTTTCTCCAACTGGTGTCAGTCTGAGATCATAAGTACACAGAAGTCAATAAATCTTCGCGAACCCCCATTCGAATACTGTCAATCAATAGAGTTTGTGTAATAAGGTTACTGACAACCTGTCCATCAAAACACCACAAACTCAACACTTCTGTCACCTGGACTACCCACTACTCTTGTCTTATGTGACATGTATGAGGTGATTAATTACTAGCGGCGGTTGCAGTAAGTGGACAAGTGAATCTAAAGGCTATCGTAGTGACTGCTGAAATAACCGATTCGGTTCCGTTATTTCAGCTGGTAAAGCAGGTTTTCACAAAATCAAGAAGTCAAACTGGTCACTTAAATAGTTTTTAGCGTGATCTTTGGAGTTTTCTGGTAAAACTGATGTGACACTGTAAAGGCCACCCTAATGATCACTGAAGTAACCAATCACACTTCCCTATTCCATGAAAATCTACCTTTTCAGCCAACATAGAGAAACCTAATTGACTATTTTAGTTGTTGCTACGGTGACCTTTAGAGTCACTTTAAAATAATCATTTTTCACCAAACAAATTATATTCTAGTGACCTTCAGAAGTTCTAACTACAGAATTCATCCATTTTGTCTGACTCTGTAATGTATTGCTCAGTCATCCAACTTTGTGATCAAACTGAGAACTTTTCTCTCTACACGCTTCAAAATGTAGGAATCAACTGGCTAGCAACAGTTTCTCTACCACCAGTACTTTCACTCACCAATGATCTCAAAGACGTCTAACTTCAACACACATTCACACTCAACAGAAGTAATGTGAAACGAATCCTTGACTATAATAATTTCTATTTTGCCGCCGTCATGTTTAATGAAACTCGCCTGGTTAACTAGTTTACTAGTTACTAGCCGGTCCTAAGCCCGGGTAAAGAGGGAAGGTTGGGCATAGGGTTAGCAACCCTACCCCGTAAAACAAATCTAACCTCTAAAGAAACTTCAAAGCACAAACAAAATATAAAAAATGAAAACAAACTTATTCCCCGCTGGAATCGGAGAGGCGAAATGACGCCAGTTGGTGAAAGCCTTCGGGAAGCCAATTGGCCGATGTGTCTTCTCTCGATGAAAGCGAAAGTAAACGTGGGGACATGGAATGTCCGCACGATGTTTGAACCCAGTAAGGCAGCCCAGATTGCAAGGGAGATGAGAAGGTATAACATCGAAGTGCTTGGGATTTGCGAAAGCAGATGGAATGGGAGTGGACTCTCCAAACTGTCAACTGGAGAATCAATAATCTACTCCGATAGCGTCACCCAGACGACAACCACGAGCACACTGAGTTAAGGAGTGGCTATCATGATGTCCCCAACAGCATCGAAGGCTCTCTCTCATGCAGTGGGAACCAATCTCCTCCAGGATCATGACAGCAAGATTCAACTCAAAAGGAAGAAAGGTCACAATCATACAATGTTATGCACCTACAAATAATGCAGAGCAAGAGAAAAAGGAGGATTCTACAGACAACTTCAATCAACACTGGACAAGACGTCAGTTGGCGATATCAAAATTCTGATGGGCGACATGAATGCCAAACTGGGAGGGGACAACACGGGAAGAGAACTAACCATGGGTCGAGAGGCGCTAGGTGAAATGAATGAGAATGGAGAATTGTTTGCAGAATTCTGTGCATTCAACGATTTGGTGATTGCAGTGAGGCAGTGTGTTCAGGCACAAAGATATCCACAAAGCGACATGGATTTCACCAGATGGACACACTAAAAATCAAATCGACTTTATCTCAATCTCAAGAAAATGGAGACGCAGTCTACTTAACACAAGGTCAAGAAGAGGAGCAGATGTAGGTTCAGACCACTCGCTATCTAGTGCAAGGAACCTTCCAAATCAAGTTAAAAGCCTTCAAGGAAGCTGGTGATAGACCTCAATTCAAGTACAACACTCGGAAACTGAAGGATGAAACTACAAAGGAGATCTTCACGAGTCAGCCATCAAGACAAAATGGGAGACATCGAGGGACATCCCTGAAGAAACCTGTGTGGAAGAACACTGGAAGTCTTTGAAAGCTATGTGGAAAGAAACCTGCACAACAGTATTAGGAAGGAAGAAGAAAGAAGATAAGGAATGGATCTCGACGGATACCTGGAAGCTGATAGAGGAGAGGAGGATGGTGAAGCAGAAGATAAACCAGTGCAAGGATGCTCAACGACAAGAGGAACTGAGCACAATGTATAAAACACTGAACAAAGAAGTAAAGAAGAGTGCACGCAAAGACAAAAGACACTTCTACGAAACACTGGCAAGTGAAGCAGAACAGGCTGCAGGTAAGAGAGACCTGACGACATTGTATCAAATAACCAGGTTGCTATCAGGGAAGAGACCAACACAGATGAAACCAATAAAAGATGAAGAAGGAAATTTAATTACAAAAGAAGAGAAACAGAGGAAACGATGGGCCGACCACTTCAAGAAGCTCTTGAATCGACCACCACCTGCACTTCGTCCAGAAATACCACCTGCAGCCGCTGAATTACAAGTGAACACTAATCCCCCAACGAAAATGGAAGTCCTGAACGCCATAAAGCTACTGAAATGCGGGAAAGCATCAGGACCAGACGGGATCCCGCCAGAAGCACTGAGAACAGATGCAGAGACAACAGCGGACATGCTCACACCACTATTGCAGAAGGTGTGGAAGGAAGAGAAGGTACCTGGCTGGTGATTGGAAGAAGGGTTACCTTGTCAAACTGCCGAAGAAGGGAGACCTCAGTGCTTGCAAGAACTAACACGGAATCCCTCTCCTGTCCACCCCAAGTAAAATATTAAGCCGCATCATCCTGGAGAGGGTTAAAGACGCACTGGATTCAAAACTACGACCGGAACAGGCAGGCTTCAGGAAGTACAAATCATGTGCAGACCAAATTGCAACGCTTCGTATCATCATAGAACAGAGCATAGAATGACAATCAGCTCTCTACCTCAACTTCATCGACTTTGAGAAGGCCTTTGACAGCGTCGACCGAGAAGTAATTTGGAAACTGCTTCAATACTACGGAGTACCGCAAACCTTTATCCGCCTCATTCAACAACTATATGAAGATGCCACATGCCAAGTAATCCACAATGGGAAGCTCAGTGATGCCTTTGAAGTGAAGACAGGAGTGAAACAAGGTTGCCTACTATCCCCCATGATATTCCTTATTGTGGTGGACTGGATCATGCAGCAAACAGTAGGCAGCGAGAAGAGGGGGATACACTGGACGACGGAAAAGAACCTAGAAGACTTGGATTTCGCCGATGACTTATGCCTAATGTCACATAAACTTGAAGATCTGCAGGCAAAAACTAACAAGTTGATAGAAGAGGCAGCTAAGACGGGACTTCAGGTGAACATAGAGAAGACAGAAGTGATGAAGATACCGCACCACCACCATCAACAACAACAACAAACTCCAATCACCGTCAACGGGAGAAACTTAAAGGAAGTAACCTCCTTCACTTATCTAGGAAGCACTGTTTCAACTACAGGCGGGACGGAAGAGGACGTCAAAGTCAGAATCGGAAAAGCAAGACAGGCGTTCATTAGCCTGAAACCAGTGTGGAGATCTTCTGCACTCAGCATGCGGAACAAGATACGGATTTTCAACACCAACGTCAAGTCAGTGCTCTTGTATGGCTCAGAGACTTGGCGCGTCACGAAAGGCATTTCCAATTAACTACAGACATTCATCAACAACTGCTTACGCTCGCTGCTGAAGATCAGATGGCCAGGAAAAATAAGCAACAAGGAACTCTGGGAACGAACCAACCAATAACCTATCGCTCAACAAATATGCAGGAAGAAATGGAGATGGATTGGGCATACACTGAGAAGGCCGACTGAGGACATCACGCGTCAGGCCAGGTACTCGAGTGGAATCCCCATGGGAAACGACGAGTTGGACGTCCCGAGGGTGACATGGAGGAGGTCGTGCGAGGAGGAAATGAGAGCTTCTGGGCTGTCGTGGGACCAGGTTCAAAAGATCTCAGAGAACAGAGGTCACTGGAGGCGCGCTACTGAAGCTGTATGTTCCACTAGGAACCCAAGGGAATAATAATAATAATAATAATGTTTAATGAGTGACAAAACAGTCTGCACATAATGTGTTTATTCCTGTGTGTTTACTTTTTCACTAGTAAAGAATGAAAGAAGTTTGTACTGGCGACATGAAAATCTGGGCGGTAGCCGGATTTTCGTTTCACCTTCAATCATCACCCAGTATAGATACTAGTCTGCCAAACTACGGCTATCTCAGTCAAATGATGATGACAAAAGTGTTTGTGTGACTCAGGTCAAAGAGTATTTTAAAGTTTCTGTAGTCCTAAGTATAATTCAAAATATCCTCCACTAACTTGGGGAAAATTTTAGTTGAGTGATAAGTGTTGCGATTCCATTTAACTGGAGAGTATCAGTAAGCCTGGAAAACTACTAAATGTCTTTCCAAGACTTTGGTGTAGCCTAACCGCAGACTTTTTCTTCACGTTTTCGTCCTTACTATACACCTATCAATAAAGTCTATGTATAGTCTGAAGTTGATTGTCAGTACACTTATTTCTAGTTGAAACATCGAACACCATGATTCAATTCCGTTCAAAACAAACATTTCTGACAGCTTTGTGTCACCCACCGCAGTGTAGTACATACATACACAGATAATCAAAAATACATAGTCCTTGAAATAAATTAAACGTCGTTACAGAAAATTCAATATGTTTTCACTACCATAGAAAGTTTTTAATGAAGCAGGGAATAAAAAACGAAAAGCAGCAAAATTTATGTAAAGATAAACACAAAACATGTTTATCATATTCGGCCTTTTATCAAATACAATTCGAATTCCTTTCTTTTTGGTTTCATGTTTACCGCTGCACAAAAATCTTGCCTAACAATTTTCAGTAGTAGAAGTTGCGTTCATTTTTATGAATCTAACATACCTTTGAAATAAATGTTCGTTTACTGCAAGGAGACCTTGATATCAAGGTCAATCAGTTGTTCATTCATCCAATCATCTTTAGAGGCTCATTAATGTCCTTTCATCAAATAAATTGTCATTGTTAGGAGTTTATTTTGAAGAAATATACCAGAAGTAAAAAACTGTGAGCCAATGAACTTGGATCCGTTGTTTAAGTGACTAATGACTTCGTTTAGAGTTCCATCTCTAGCGAGGTCATCTGTACGTACTTTTGAAGAGTCTCGTGCTAGGATGCAACAGCTGTCCAGCGCTCTCAGGTTTTACATGGTTCTGCAATCGATGTCGGTGTTTGATGAATAATGAATTGAAACAAATGTAGCTAAGCTTACTTCTGATAGATCTTACCAGAATTGTTAGGTAAGGGGTTAATGGCACAGCGGTTACTCATTACCACACATATTTTGATATCATAGTGTTTATGCACGTCAGATATTTAGGACGAATCAAACTTGTATTAGCAGGAGAATCATAAAAAAGTCTGCCTCCCATTATTTCTGAGTAGCACTTTGTATATCAGTCTTAGGAAAGCCCATACTTTATCTAAAACGAGATGGAGCCCACATCATACAACTGTCGTATGAAAAGCACATCACCTTTTGTAAGGCAGAGAGAAATGTAGACGGATATTCATTCACTGCTTCCAAATAACCTTTGTTTTATTTTTGGTGGACGATCTAATTAGTTATTATACTGTTTCAGTTGCTTCTTTTGTAAGTAGCCAACAATTTCTTCTCTTATAATACACTTACTTATTTGGTCAATAGTTCAATCATTCAATCTAAACTCAGAGGGCTACTGTAGCTTCTTTGTAAGGGCTAAATCAGCCCATATTCATTGGCCACCTTAGTGCTTCAGTTCAATCCTTTCTTTTTCTCAAAATAATTTGCAGCACACATTGATATCAGTTGAATTACCACTGAAAACTTAAGTACATTGGATACCAGTTTCCTCCTTGGATAGAACTTTTAATTGGTCTTAATGTGCGACTCCAAAAGGGATAAAAGTCAGAACTGTAGTGTCTTGTAGCGAAGCCATTACCATCCAGCCACTGGACTGAAACCCACTGATTCACTTTTTTCTATTTCTATCAGTTCGTAATACAATCCATCCATCGTCTTATGTAAACTGTGGTCGCTGAATGGCAACTTTCTTGGATTAAGACTTAACAGTCCATGGTTTAATCTTTTGTGGCGTAATAATCCATACTGTAAATAAGCCCCAAACTGGAGTGAAACACCTGTCTAGTACTCCCATTTTCTCAGTGTTTATTCAGCTGATGCCATTCTATGATACAAATCACTCATCTTAAGATCATTCAGATACTAGTTCCGCCACCTAAAATGTTATCAGCCTGAACCAGAAGTCTTCAAAGACATGTTTTATCAAACCAGTATCCAAACGTGTACAACAGCTATTCCCATTATTGTACGCATATAATTTGGGCATTGGTATGACATAACTTCATTTGAGTTTAGCCTATTTGAGGTCAGATACATAGATCAAAGTAACCGAACGTAGTCCGTCAGTTTGGCAGAACACAGGAACCCCATTTAAGTCTAGATTGATAGATTGATATCAAGATGTGTAATCCAGAGAAGAAGTGAGCCATATCTGTGCATTTGATAACATACATCTGTACCATAGGGTGGGACAGATATGTAATCCTGAAAACTAATATAGTTGAGTGGGGAGAGAGAGAGAGGTAAATCAATCAATTTTTGGTCGTTGGTTTCCCGCCTAAAGCATGCAGTAGAAGTAACACAATAGCTAGTCTGGATGCGGGGAAAACTGAACAGTTAAATCAAAGAATGAAGAATAATAGAACTATAAAACTAGACCAGAAAGTTATTACTCTGATATGATTAAATTCAGTTCGAAAAGCCATCTCTGCTTGCTGTATCAAATAAACGGACCTAATATGGAAGCTACACGCATTACTGTTACACTGGTCTACAATCCTTCATTTCTAGAGTCCTTGATTAAACTGTAAAAATAGAACAGATAAGTTCTCGAGGAGTATCCTCTGAATCTTAACAATAAATATAAATTTCTTCTAAACAGTCCCAAACATTTAAATAAGTCTTATTACCAGTCATTTTTATCAGAACTCACAAGCTTTTCAAGGTACTGATCAGTTAAATAATAATCCAAAAAAACATCCGATGAGACTAACCAAGTGTTATATGGAACGATAAAACCAGGGCCTCAGCGGAATCAATGAAGAAATTCAAAAAGAGGGGACATCGTTTCCGAGTGTTCAACAGGGTTAAACAGGAATGTTAACTACTACTACTACTACTACTACTACTACTACTACTACTACTACTACTACTACTACTACTACTACTACTACTACTACTACTTCTACTACTATTACTACTACTACTACTACTACTACTACTTCTACTACTACTACTACTACTACTACTGTGCCTCACCTTCACAGATGTGTCAGGATACATGAGGAATGGTAAATGCTGTGATTTATTTACACTTACTCACGTGGGTTTAGCAGTATGTTGTCAAAGTGAAACAAATGGATAATTTGTTGTGATCTTAAGCCAAACAGATCAGTACAGAATTTCGCACAGATATCCATGACTTTCAACTACTCTGCTTCATAACACGCAAAGTGGGAGTGAAGAAAACTTAGTGATATCGTAAAAGACAAAAAGAAGTATGGGAGAAGACAGAA